CTGGAAGCATGCGTAGGTAAGTGCCGGCAGCTGTGCCAACAGAAAAGGGATACCTGAAAGTCAGGTGTACTCAATATGGAGGTTTCCTCTTCCCTTTTCTCTTTTGCCGTTTGTGCAGGTGTCATGGCACTGGCCAGGTAAAGACTCTATCTGCATCATAAAAAATTAGTGTGGGATGGCCAGCCACCTGGCGCCTACGTAAATGACACACCTGGCCCAGCCAACCCGCTGCACCCTACGTAAATCAGACACCGCCTCCTCAAGCCCCTCTATAAAACCAACCACATCTCATCCCAAACCCGGGAATCCACTCGGGCCCCTTCCTCTGCACGAGGAAGCTCTTTCTTCTTTCATCTATTACACTTCTGCTCTTAAACCCACTCCTCGTGTGTGTCTGCGTCTTTGATTTCCTTAGCGCCAGACGACAAACCACAAGTCTTTCCCCGGACTAACGATGCCACTTCATCTGCAGTATGAGATGTTCAATTCGTAGTAGAAAAAGAAAGGGTCCTGATAGGATGAAGCCACCATTCCAGTATGAACTGGTGCGGGGTAAGAGCAGCCTGGGACATTCTCAAAAGGTCAGCGGACAAAACACAGGACCTGACTAACAAAAGAGGAGAATACACACACAGCGGAGACCCTTCCCTCAGGCACAGACCGCTAAAGGTTTCGCCAAGTCCCCAGCAGAGACGGATTATAAATTAATAGCAGAACCACCCTGGAAGGTATTTGTAGCAGTTATGTAGAAAATGGTGCTTACATTCCGTGCACAGTAAATTGGATCTAGGTCTCCTTGCATGTGCGGGTTTTGGCATTCTTAATTAATGCCTTTATTATCTCTGTAAAGTTGCAAGCTAATGAAGCCCTCCAGGTATTGTTACGGCCATACTTAGAGAAAAACCTTAACTGACAATGAGAGTCCAGATTCTGGTGCCCCGAGGGCATGGACCAGGTAAGGAATATCCCCTGCCCTATAGCATGCTCCCTTAATAAGCGACACAAGTGTGTTGCATGTTACAATTACTTAGAAATACTTTTCAGTGAGTACTCTAGAAGAAAAAGGAGATGGATTAAATCAAAGGTTTTTCAGGGCAGCCAACTGTTAAGGAGGAATCTGTCATTTTCTAGATCGGAAAAAAAAGGATGTAGTACACGGACAATTATTTTGGTCGTCTCTTTGTTCTTCTCTCTGCTTCTGCATAATACTTCTCACACACCCCCAGTGGCCTTTAGAGGACATACAAATTTCTCTGACATTACTCTTCTCTCAGGTTCCCTATTCTCATGCAAATTCACCCTATAAGTCCTCTTCTTTATCATCCCATTCCTATTTTGAAACATAAAAAGCTCAAAACCCCCAGAAGCCCCATGGTTGTGCCCAAAGGGGGAGAGGTTAGATAACCTTTTGTATCTTTTCTATCACTAATTCCTGATCTGAGCCCAACGTGTCCCCACTAATGCCGCCGCCTAAAATGGTCTGCAGTTTGAGCTTTTTCCACCGTCCTAGCCAATGCCCTCAGCAATTCACATTCATAAAAAGTGAGATTAAATGTGTATAACTGTTGGCTTGTGCTCTCAATTCCGTTGCTGGCTCTACTAATGATTTCCTGTTAAGGGCAGACTTTTACCTCGGTAAAGGTAGCAATGCCTTGCTGTCAGGAACAGTTACTAAGAAACTAAGCCAGGGCCGGGCAAAGTGGCTCATGCCTGTAATCCCAGCACTTTGGGAAGCCCAGGCGGGTGGATCGCTTGAGCCCAGGAGTTCGAGACCAGCCTGGGCAACATGGTAAAACCATCTCTACTAAAAATACAAAAATTAGTCAGGTGTGGTGGTACATGCCTATAGTCCCTGCTACTCAGGAGGCTGTGGTGGGAGGATGATCTGAGCATGGGAAGGTCGAGGCTGCGGTGAGCCATGATAGCACCATTGCACTCCAGCCTAGGTGATAAAGTGAAACCCTGTCTCAAAAAGAAAATAAAAACTAAGCCAGGTTTCTCCAACACAAAATCAATTAGCTAATCAGTTTAGTACATGCAGGGCAAAATATAGCAAAAGAATCATTCATTCACTGAGCAAATATTCATTAATCAGCTACTTTTTATCCTGTAGGAAATACACACATATTGACAAGTCCCTAAATTCAAGAGACTTGGGATCTAGTAGAGGAGATAAAACAAAAACTTTTGCCTTTCCGTGCTACCTGCCGAGGGCTCCAAACGGCGTTGTTCTAGATTCCCGTCGTAACTTAAAGGGAAACTTTCACAATGTCCAGAGCCCTTGCTGTCCTGCAAATGAAGGAGGAGGATGTCCTTAAGTTGCTGGCAGCAGGAACCCGTTTAAGTGGCACCAACCTTGACTTCCAGATGGAACAGTATATCTATAAAAGGAAAAGTGATGGCATCTACATCATAAATCTGAAGAGGGCCTGGGAGAAGCTTCTCCTGGCAGCTCGTGCCATTGCTGCCATTGAAAACCCTGCTGATGTCAGTGTTATATCCTCCAGGAATACTGGCCAGAGGGCCATGCTGAAGTTTGCTGCTGCCACTGGAGCCACTCCAATTGCTGGCCACTTTACTCCTGGAACCTTCACCAACCAGATCCAGGCAGCCTTCCGGGAGCCACGGCTGCTTGTGGTTACTGACCCAAGGGCTGACCACTAGCCTCTCACAGAGGCGTCTTATGTTAACCTACCGACCATTGCTCTGTGTAACACAGATTCTCCTCTGCGCTATGTGGACATTGCCATCCCATGCAACAACAAGGGAGCTCACTCAGTGGATTTGATGTGGTGGATGCTGGCTCGGGAAGTTTTGCTCATGCGTGGCACCATTTCCCGTGAACACCCGTGGAAGGTCATGCCTGATCTCTACTTCTACAGAGATCCTGAAGAGATTGAAAAAGAAGAGCAGGCTGCTGCTGAGAAGGCTGTGACCAAGGAGGAGTTTCAGGGCGAATGGACTGCTCCAGCCCCTGAGTTCACTGCCACTCAGCCTGAGGTTGCCGACTGGTCTGAAGGCGTGCAGGTGCCCTCTGTGCCCATCCAGCAGTTCCCTACTGAAGACTGGAGCACCCAGTCTGCCACGGAAGACTGGTCTGCAGCTCCCACTGCTCAGGCCACTGAATGGGTAGGAGCAACCACTGAATGGTCTTAAGCTGTTCTTGTGTGGGCTCTTAAACAACATATAAGATTCATGGAAAATAAACATCGAGTTTCTAAAAGTTGTGTTCATTTATTTTGGTTTTTTATTCCAGATCAGAATACCTGGGATTTCATACCAAAGTATAACAATAAATACATGTCTTGGAAAAAAAAAAACAAAAAAAAACTTTTTTTTTTGAGACAGAGTCTCACCCTGTCACCCAGGCTGGAGTTCAGTGGACTGACCTCTGCTCACTGCAACCTCCGCCTCCCAGGTTCAAGCAATTCTTCCACCTCAGCCTCCCAAAGTGCTGGGATTATAGGCATGAGCCACCATGCACGGCCTATATACATTATCTGATTTAACTCCCACAGCAACCCTGAGAAGTCAAGTCACTATCCTCATTTTATACAGGAAGTAAAGGACATTCAGACAGGCTGAGTAATTTGTCCAAGAAAATTGGCAATGCAAGAAGATATTTATTTATTTATTATTTTTGTTTTTTAAAGACAGGGTCTTGCTCTGTCACCCAGGCTGGAGTGCAGTAACATAATCATGGCTCACTTCAGTGTCAAATTCCTGGGCTTGAGGAATCCTCCCACCTCAGCCTCCCAAGTATCTAGGATTACAGGTGTGTGCCACCATGCCCAACTAATTTTTTTTTTTTTTTTTTTTGGTAGAGACAGGCAATGCAAGAATTTTTAAACACTCAGGTCTGTCTGTCTGTCCAAATACACATAAGAGATGTATTACCAGGCCAGGCGCGGTGGCTCACGCCTGTAATCCCAGCATTTTGGGAGGCCGAGGCGGGTGGATCACGAGGTCAAGAGATCAAGACCATCCTGGTCAACATGGTGAAACCCTGTCTCTACTAAAAATACAAAAAATTAGCTGGGCATGGTGGCGCGTGCCTGTAATCCCAGCTACTCGGGAGGCTGAGGCAGGAGAATTGCCTGAACCCAGGAGGCAGAGGTTGCAGTGAGCCGAGATCGCGCCATTGCACTCCAGCCTGGGTAACATGAGTGAAACTCCGTCTCAAAAAAAAAAAAAAAAAAAGAGATGTATTACCACCTCTTTCCCCAACAGTAAAGTTATGTCAAGGAGAAAACATTTTTCCCCACTCTCTTAGGTTCAGTACCTAGGGACCTGCAAATTAACCTGACAAAAGATAGATCAACAAAAGAAAAGACAAATTTTTATTCACATACATACGTACATACTTGGGAGTTCACAGAAAAATGTGACTGAAGGAACCAGAATTGGGGGCTTTTTTTTTTTTTTTTTTTTGAGATGGAGTTTCGCTCTTGTTACCCAGGCTGGAGCGCAATGGCGCGATCTCGGCTCACCGCAACCTCCACCTCCTGGGTTCAGGCAATTCTCCTGCCTCAGCCTCCTGAGTAGCTGGGATTATAGGCACACGCCACCATGCCCAGCTAATGTTTTGTATTTTTAGTAGAGATGGGGTTTCACCATGTTAACCAGGATGGTCTCGATCTCTTAACCTCATGATCCACCCTCCTCGGCCTCCCAAAGTGCTGGGATTACAGGCGTGAGCCACAGCGCCCGGCCAATTGGGGGGCTTATATGTCACCTGAATGGGGGAATGTGGGGGAGCAATGAGGCACTTCTGGAAAAAACAACTTACTTCTTAGAAGATGGAGAGAAAAGGCCCTTAGGGAAACGCAGAGGACTTTAAAAAAAAAAAAAAATCAATAGATTCATAGAGGAATAGACAGGAGACATGATAACCTTGTGAGGATGTCTGTTGGGGTGTGATGATGACTTCTGTCTTCCCTGAGAAGAAAAAATCAGAGTTGCTCCTGGAGAGGGGATTTATGACCATTGGGACCATTGGGTTCGTTGGGAGCTCTGATTTTAGGCAAATAAAGGATTTTAGGAATTCAAATGCCTTCAGCTCAAAATAACTTTTATGCCAAAATGGTATATTTGGGCCAGGCACGGTGGCTCACGCCTATAATCTCAGCATTTTGGGAGGCCAAGGGAGGTGGATCACTTGAAGTCAGGAGTTTGTGACCAGCCTGGTGAAAACCCACCTCTACTAAAAATACAAAAAAAAACTGAGCATGGTTGGTGGCTGCCTATAATCCCACCTACTCAGGAGGCTGAGGCAGAATTGCTTGAACCGTGGAAGCAGAGGTTGCAGTGAGCCAAGATCACGCCACTGCACTCCATCCTGGGTGACAAGATTGAGACTGTCTTAAAAGAAAAAAAAAAAAAAAGCCATATTTGGGGTGGCATTTTGATCCTCTTCAGATATCTATTAGAACACAAACACAAATAGCAATAGCACAGAAAAAGACATGCTAAATGAAATACCATGAAAGAATGATTAAAATGCAACAAAATTTCAGAGAAGATGAAGATGAAGATGAGGTGATTAGGGAAGCCTGAATCGGAGCACCGGCAGGTGAGCTGCATCTTAGGATTTCGGCAGGCAGAGCAGGAAGAGAATTCTAGTAGGCTGAAATGTTCTTTTTTAATGGACATGGTGGGAGGAGAGTATAGAATCTATCTACAGCATGTTACATAAGTAGTCTGGCTAAAAAACATGGAATACTTCAAAAATTTGCAAGCCATCCTTAAATAAGGTCTCAACTCCCTTCTCTGAAATTTTGCTACAGGTGAAGGATGAGCAACAGACACATTATTAAATCAAGAACTAGTTTTTGTGGGCCAGGCACGGCGGCTCACACCTGTAATCCCAGTACTTTGGGAGGCTGAGGCAGGTGAATCACTTGAACTCAGGAGTTCGAGACCAGCCTGGGCAACATAGCAAAACCCCATCTGTACAAAAAAATACAAAAATTAGCTGAGCATGGTGGCAGTCACCTGTAGTCCCAGCTACTCGAGAGGCTGAGGTGGGAGAATCACTTGAGCCCGGGAGGTAGAGGTTGCAGTGAGCTGAGATCACCCCACTACACTCCAGCCTGGACAAGAGAGTGAGACCCACTCTAAAAACAAAACAAAACAAAAAAAATTAGTTTTTGCTAGGACTAGGAACTGTTTTGATCTTTTGGAACAAAGGACAGGCTAGCCCTTAATAGCATACAAGTCCCTGTTACATGATAAAAATTCCATACCACAAAAATTGATTGTCCCAGTCATACTGGTCTAATTCAAGCTATAAATGGACCCCCTCTTAGCCAAGCAGATTCCATAGAAACCTTAGAAACTGAGCTACTGGTCATGACTGGGTGGGAGGCCTAACATGTTTTATTATACTCCTTCCTTTTTGGAGTTTAGATGCAACAGCTAACCAGCATTAATGTTAAAACAGAGATCTTAAGACTGACAGGTGAAAAGGGGGAAAAGGGAAGTGAAAGAAAAAATAAAAATAAAAAGACTGACAAAACAGACTCTTTGTGGCCAGTAAGATACCAAATTACAAACAGGACTTAAGAAAATGCAACATAAGTGTGAAGTCTCATCTGCAGTCCATCAGTCTTGCTAAACGGGTTATTTTTTATTATTTTTTTGAAACACAGTCTCACTCTATCACCCAGGCTGGAGTGCAGTGGCTCAGCCTCAGCTCACTGCAACCTCCACCTCCCAGGCACAAGCAATTCTTCCACCTCAGCCTCCCAAATAGCTGGGACTACAGGTGTGCACCACGATACCTAGCTAATTTTTGCATTTTTCTGTAGAGATGGGGTTTTGTCATGTTGCCCAGGCTGGTCTCAAACTCCTGAGCCCAAGCGATTTACCCACCTTGGCCACCCAAAGTGCTATGATTACAGGCATGAGCCACTGTGCCCGGCCCTAAACAGATCACCAGGTTATTGTGGCTGACTCTGACACAGCACCCTCATCTTAAGCATTTCTTTCGGCTCCAGGTTTTAGGCAGAGCCTTATTCCTTTAACTAATTGCAAATTAAAGAATCTCTAGGCCAGGCACAGTGGCTCATGCCTGTAATCCTTGCACTTCGGGAGGCTGAGGAGGATGGATCTCTTGAGGTCGCTTGAGTTTGAGACTAGCCTGGACAACATGGCAAAACAACTATCTCTACAAAAATATACAAAAATTAGCCGGCTATGTGGCATGTGACTGTAATCCCAGCTACTCAGGAGGCTGAGGCAGGAGGATTCCCTGAGCAAGTGAGGCAGAGTTTACAGTGAGCCATGATGACGCCACTGCAATCCAGCCTGGGTGACAGAGTGAGACCCTATATCAAAAGAAAAAAAAAAAAAAAAGAATCTCTGAATTTGCCTATAACCTGTAAGACCCTCTCCTTCAAGATATCCTGCCTTTTGGGGCTGAACCAATGTATGCCTTCCATGTGTTGATGTATGTCTTCACCTGTAACTCCTGCATCCCTGAAATGTGTAAACCAAACTATAATTCACTTGTCCCAGGACCATGTACTCAAGGCTTTTTGGGTCATGTCTTCCCCAGGCCACAGTCACTCCTATTGGTTCCCAATAAACCTCTTTAAAATGTTTAACAGAGCTTGGTTTTTCTGTTAACAGAGAAAAGTGAAACAGAGAGAAAATTTTGACAGTGAAAGAGAGCTGACCTAACCAACTCCAAGCTATCCTTGTTCATTCCTGGGCATAGGCTAAACCAGCTTTGGGAGGAACTGAGTTTATAGTTCAGCTTTGAAAGGAAGATGATAACAGACCTTTCCTGAAACAAATCCCCTTCTGGCCTGGGGACCAGACTGCTTTTTTTTTTTTTTTTTAAGACGAAGTCTCACTCTGTATCACAGGCTGGAGTGCAGTGGCATAATCTAGGCTCACTGCAAACTCTGCCTCCCAGGTTGAAGCGATTCTTCTGCCTCAGCCTCCCAAGTAGCTGGGATTACAGGCACCTGTCACCAAAAAAAAAAAAAAAAAAAAAAAAAACTCTTTAAAATATTTAACATATTTGAGATCAGCCTGGACAACATCACAAAACCCCATCTC